CGACGTGCTCCAGGACAGCAGGTGGGACAGCTGTGAGGGAGTCCAAGACTCAGGACAGCAGACCCGGGTAGTATAAGTAAGATTCATTCCCCCAAAACGATCATGCATAAAATCTTTAGTAAGGGTACCCCTATTTGGGGAATCCCCATGTACGACAGCCCAAACCCTAACATTCAAAACCCAGCACCCTTTGCAACCTTATCTTGGAACCCAGACTCCGCATGTCAGCTGGTTCTGAAACGTGGCAGACCTCATACGTCCACTACACCCGCAAACCCCCTTTGAAAGCCTAAACCCTGAACCCAAAAACCCTGAAACCCTAAAACAAAGATCCTGGGCATTTAGTACACACTCCGATATTTGCGCCACTTGCGCGGTTCAGTAGAGCTTCAAACGCTTAAGGCCTTCGGCTTGATGTTTGGGGGCTTAGGTTTAGGGTTTAGGGTTTAGGGTTTAGGGTTTAGGGTTTAGGGTTTAGGAATTTTTTGCCACTTGCCTAGCAGGCTCGCACCACACTGCAGGGATGCGCAACAGTCTGGAGTCGGTCCATCGGTAACTTACAAGGACAACATTACACTGAAGGTTCTTGGAGGTTCATGGGTAGTTAGAAGTAGGGTTGTGAGTACCCTACATGTGGTTCTAACCAGCTATAACTCTAGTTACCCTACGTACTTATAACCCCACTTATACAGTAACTACCCATGAACCCTCAAGTAGGACGTGCAACAAACCCAACCAGAGTCAACCAAACTATAATTTCTATCCATCCCTCAAAGGTTTAGGGTTTAGGGTTTAGGGTTTAAGCTATTTAGGGTTTAGGGTTTAGGGAATTCGGATGACACTTCTGGACGCACTGCAAGGCACTCATGGGGAAAGCATTAGCTACTCATGAACCCCGACCAGGCAACTCGCACACACAAAAGTCCGCATCAAATCTCAACCCTTTTTACAGCGGGCTCCAAGCTTTTTCTAACACTCTAAACTCTATACACCCCAAATCGCTTTTTCACTTCTTAAAGGCTTCAAGTCTTAGGGTAAGGAGTTCGGGTTTCGTGTTTGGGTTTAGGGTTTAGGGCCAGTTTAGGTTTTAGGGTTTAGGGTTGCTCAAGAATCCCCCCCCAAAGAAAAATTCGAAATATTCCTCCTTATAAGGGCAATATAGGGATGCTTGTTCTTTTATGCTGCTGTCGGGGGTTCTTAAGCAAATGGTAGTTTACCATTGCCGAAGCGCAGCTTTGGACAGATTGCGTGGATGTTCGTGGGGCTTTCTCTAACTGGCTTCCTTTACTCCGCGGCCTCTGCAGCAAACCGACCTTCTCAAGCTCCAGTCTTTCCAATACCTCGGGATGTGTCGAGGGGGAAACCCTAAACCCTAAACCCTAAACCCTAAACCCCAAACCCCAAACCCTAAACCCTAAACCCTAAACCCTAAACCCTAAACTCCCAGGGACTCCAAGACCCCTTCATTCAGGAAGATTCCTTAAAGTATAAGAGGGTCCCTTATATGGTTTCCGGAGTATTCCTTAATTAGGGGGTATAAGATTCCGTAAAGTTTTTGAGGGTCCCTTATATGGTTCAAGGAAAATTCCTTAGTTAGGGGGTATTGGAGTCTCTGGGCTGTCTTGACATGGGGCAGTTGCCCAGACTATACCCCGAAACGGGAATCCAGACTTCCTAGCCAACTTCTGCATAAGCTGAGTGCCCTAAACCCTAAACCCTAAACCCTAAACCCTAAACCCTAAACCCTTTTGCATCCGGCTTGCTGCTCTCCTCGCCTGGCTAGAATCCACACGGACTGTTGCCCTGAACCCTAAACCGTCTCAACCCTTTTTGCATCCGGACTCCTAAACCCTAAACCCTAAACCCTAAAGTCTAAACCCTAAACCCTAAACCCTAAACCCTAGACCCTAAACCCTAAAACCTAAACCCTAAACCCTAAACCTTTTTTTGCCCTAAACGCCCTCTGAATACTTGGTACCAGTAACCACCTCATAATAAGGGCACTCTTTTTTGGGTTGGGTACTTTTTTGAGAGAACCTTGAACCCAAAAAAAGGGAAAAGGGTACACCCTAAACCCTAAACCCTAAACCCTAAACCCTAAACCCTAAACCCTAAACCCTAAACCCTAAACCCTAAACCCTAAACCCTAAAGTACCACTGGGCTACTAAGAATGTATTTAACGCTCCGCGGAGTTGCGCCCCTGAGCTGCTTCCGCACCATGAGGCGTTGCACCTGCAGAAGCCGAGGCTTTGAGGGTTTTGAGATTTAAACCCTAAACCCTAATTAAACCCTAAACCCTGAACCCCAAACCCCCAACCGAATAGATATTCCGAGGAACCCCTTCCATCACATAACCCTTCTGCCAATGGACTGTCTAGCCAGTCACCGCCCTTTCTACCTGCTTGGCTTGGCGCCCTAAACCCTAAACCCTAAACCCTAAACCCTTTTTGAGCACGGACTGAGGAAGCTGCCGGCAACCTGATAGCAGAGCCTTCCCGCGATCCTATACAAGCAGGGGATGCAATCACAGGTGTGACTTCGTACTGGTAGAACAAGGGTCGTTGCTGCCCCAGCCGAAGCTGCCCTCTCATGCTTTCTTCATCTTCACGTGTCGGCCCCTAAGGAGTTGCAAATGACTCGAAGGTGGGGCTTTATCCTCGGAAGAAGCTAGTGGTAACATGTGGGGGCATGCAGCTTCCTGCTGCAGACGCATGCCGGCAGCACTCGCAGCACAAGGACGATAGCTGCTTGCAGTGTCCAACTTCTCCCCAGCATCCTGTTCATCAAGCTGTCGACGCAAATCGAGGATGGTGGCCACACTTTGTTCCACGAGTGTTTGCATATTCTCCAGTGTTGACATGAAGTTGTCACTTGTAGATTTCATGAAAGCCTCAAACTGGGTTCGCGTCAAGACCTCCTCGCAGGTCTGGCACTCCGCATGTCGACCAGGGCTAGCGTGGGCTACTGGCAAACACAAGTCCAGGTGGATCATCTGCCTGCTCTTTCGAGGGGGCTGGTCATCCATCTGCAAGAGAGCAACACGTGCCATCTTGATGAATCGAATGGCAGAGTCCCTGCCCAGCTTCTTTGCATTGCGCTCTGCGAAACCCAAACACGACAACAGTTTTGTCAACCGAGCCATCCATGGCAGCACTTTCCAAGCCACAGTGTGAATTCAATGCAAGGGCTTGCCCAATTTGGGTCGGAACCATAACGGCTTGAGCCAACCCTAAACCCTAAACCCTAAACCCTAAACCCTAAATCCTAACCCTAAACCCTAAACCCGAGCGCCTTGTACCGGATGAAGTCCTTGGCCCATGCCTGCGCCGCTTGATGGACCCCCATGATGAGCAAGTACTAAGGCCGGAGCTGCGTGCCTCGTTAACATCTCTCGCAGGGAGACTTTGCACCTGGCCCAGACACTCGATTTATTGTTATTATTATTATTATCATTATTATTGTTATTGTTATTGTTATTATTATTATTATTAATATTATTATTGCTATTAATATTTTTTTATTAGTACTATAATTATTGTTACTATTATTACTATCACTATTATTTATTTCATTTTTTTTGGGGGGGTTCTCTACTGGGGTCACTTCTTGGGTCCCTAGTGTGATGCATCTCTATGGGGGTAGGGGTGCCAAGAAGGCCATGACATGTCTTTTTCAAGCCAGCCTTATGACTCCGTGACAAAGGTGCAAGTTTTCGCGGCCTTCGCGCACAGTCGTCTGGAGAGCGCCATCATGTCTTCCAAAAAGTTGCCATCGCCGGCAGATGTCACGTGCACGAACTGTTCAGTGCAGGAGTGGTACTACTGCTAGCTGCGACCTATCAGGTTGCCTCCTCTGCTGCCACACCGTGCGCCCTAAACCCTAAACCCTGAACCCTGAACCCTGAACCCTAAACCCTAAACCCTAAACCCTAAACCCTAAACCCTAAACCCTAAACCCTCAACCCTCAACCCTCAACCCTAAACCCTAAACCCTAAACCCTAAACCCTAAACCGACTTGTTTGTAGAGGTGGTACGTTTTCGGGATGTGGGTGTAGTAGTGCGGAGCCTCAAGGCCACGGCTTCCAAGCTGCTCAACCACACACACGCACACTTGCTTAGGGTTTAGGGTTTAGGGTTTAGGGTTTAGGGTTTAGGGTTTAGGGTTTAGGGTTTAGGGTTTAGGGTTTAGGGTTTAGGGTTTAGGGTTTAGGGTTTAGGGTTTGCTCGACAACTTGATGGGCCATTTGCCTACTTCTCGGCGGGTTGAAGTCACAAAGGGCCCTCTCTGTGCGTCCTTTCTCCCATCCAGCAGCACTCTCGAGCCTCTCCTTGCACTTCTCTTTGCAAAGTCAAGTGGCGTTTGAGCAGTGTACTGCAACCAAGTTCGGTTTTCATCACTTTGGCGATGCTGTGATGTAGAATGCCAAGACATAGGAGTCAGTACACTGAGGCTAAGTGGCTAAGCTGAGACAAGACTCGAAACTGAAGGCAGCATGGTTGCCGCCGGCATGCTCTCAAGCACGCCCACGCATCCGAATTCAGGCCTTGGAGCCACCTGGAAGTCTACCCTAAACCCTAAACCCTAAACCCTAAACCCTACACCCTACACCCTAAACCCTACCTCTTTGGAAGTCTACCTCTTTGGAAGCCCACCAACAGGATGAAAGGGAATTAAACCTGAAAACCTGTACTCTGCACTGGCAGCCTTGTCGGGCGAGCTCACCAGCATCACCACGTCCCGGATCATGCAAAAAGCAGGGCCCCTGCTGGTTTAGGGTTTCAGTTTTTTGGTTTAGGGTTCGAATGCATCCGACCATGTTCTTCCGCAGGTGGTGAGGCAGATGGCTCAGCTTCTGATGACGCAGCCAGGCTCCAGGAATGCGGATCTACATGGTCATCTAGATACACAACGGGAATTTAAGGGCCCCTCAGAAAAGCGTGACTTTACAACACGGTTGCATGTGCAACCGGTACAGCCAGCCAGCCTGAAATCTGCGGCTCAGTCGGCTGCGTCCCACTCAGCACAGGTTGCAGCTATTTGACTCCTTATGGGGCGCATGCAGCAGCAACAAACATCCTAAACCCTAAACCCTAAACCCTAAACCCTAACCGCACCATGATTTCTAAACCCAAACAAAAAAAACACCTTTGCTGTTCGTGCCACGCCTGCCCACGTCTTGACATCATGGAAACGGGGGAGTTTGGAAACACTACTACAATGTTACTACAAGCCATATTGGGAAAACTCCACTCTAACCCTGAACCCTAAACCTAAACCCTAGGTTTAGGGTTTAGGGTTCAGGGACAGGGAGAAAGGAAAATCACCGTCTTGATCCGTCTTGGAATTCTTTTTTCGGGGGATTCCTGCCAAAATCCCAACATGAGGATTCTCCGAAATTTGGGATGACATGAACGGGAACCCCCTATCTTGGGAAATGTCACAATGTCCGCGGTTCTGGGTCTCGGAAAGTGGGGCTTGCACTGTTGGGGGTTTGCTTTGGTTGGCACAGTTCTGGGTCGACAGGCCACGGGTTGACAGCCCTAAATCCCAAGCCCCACTAAGATGTCACACGGTGCGTCTTCCACGTTTGCGGGAAAAGGAACGAGACAACTTTTGCTTTTTCGCAAAAGGCGGCTTTTCGAGAAAAGTGGCCCTTCGACAAAAGTTGAGGCTTTGCGAAGCGCTGCGCGCACGACGCCGCGAGAACAGTGACTTTTCGCAAGTCGTGGCTTTGTTGAGAAAGCGCAAGTGGCTTCTCGAAAACACGGCGCGCGCGCGCGCGGGACTACACGAGAAAAGTCACTTTTCGCAAAAGTGGCCTGGGATGTCACCCTTTATACAAACAGTCCTTAAACAGACTATACTCCCTTTTGAAGGACTGTTAGTATAAGGAAACCTAAAAACCCTAAACACCTGAAACCCTATAAACCCTGAACACCCTAACCGTTCCTAAACCCGATAAACCCTAAACACCTTAAACTCTACAAACCCTGAACACCCTAGACCGTTCCCAAAACCTGAAACACCCTAAACCCTATAAACCCTAAACACCTTAAACCGTTCCTAAAGCCCTATAAACCCTCAAAACCCCAAACACCCCTTGGCTGCAATCAGGAGGGTAGCTATAAACTAAACTTTTAGCTGCCTTAATAAGAAACCCAATAAACCCCAAAAAGGTAAGGATCTAAAGTTACAGTAAAGTACCACAAAGACCCTAAACCCTAAACGCTAGACCCGACACCCTAAACCCTAAACCCTAAACCCTAAACCCTAAACCCTAAACCCTAAACCCTAAACCCTAAACCCTAAACCCTAAACAACCTCTTCGTTCAAGGGACGTCTGGTACTCGATGACATTGAACTTGTCCACAGGGCAGAGGGCCGATCTCGGAACCAGGGGTTTAGGGTTTAGGGTTTAGGGTTTAGGGTTTAGGGATTGGCCAATCCCTCGACTTTTTGGTTCATTTTGGGCTTCTTAGGGTTTAGGGTTACCTGAAGTTTCATGGGCAGTTATAACTAGGGTTATACGTAGGGAAACTATAGGTATAACTGGTTATAACCCTATTTAGGGTACTTCTAACCCTACTTATAACTACCCATGAACCTCCAAGAGGGGTGACTTGGTTCAATTCTTGCTTACAAGACCACGATTTGGGCCCCCTGAACCCTGACCGTTGGAAATGCGTAGCCTAAGTGCCCTAGATTTTGGCAAGCTCACCCTTTACTGCACCGGTTCGGACGGATGGGACCCCAGCACAGGTAGCTAAATATATATATATATAGACACATTACATAGAATACATATCAAATAAAAACAATAAATAAGTTTGTACATATGTATACATATATATATATGTATATATATGTATATAACTTGCTATAAGACAAAACCTTAAGAACTCAAGACCTTTTTTGAGAGAGATTGACTTCCTCAGTCTTCTACGGCCTTAAGAACTCAAGACTCGTGTTTTTTGGCAGGTTGCCTACGCATTTTATGAAAGAGGTTTCTGATAACCCTAAACCCTAAACCCTAAGCCCTAAACCCTAAACCCTAAACCCTAAACCGAAAAGTAGGCTGAAGCTTCTTTAGGAACTCAGGGAGTGGCAACGCACAGGGAGGAGCCGGGGAGAGCAAGCCATGGAGAATAGGTCAGGGGGTAGGAGGGGCTTAGTTTTTTTTTGCCACTGCTTGGCAGGGTTTAGGGTTTAGGGTTTAGGGTTTAGGGTGGCTTGCATCCGGCTCTAAACATTTCTTGCTTCACACCTTGCGCCAAGCGTCGTCTCTGTCAGCCAGCGGTCGATGCAGGTCTTGTGAAATCGGTGGCCGCAAGGAAGCAGTGAGCGAAGGACTTCTCCGGTCTCAAACTCTTCCTTAGTTGTCCAGTACCTAGGGGTTTTAAAGGTTAACCTTTGGGATTATAAGGGGAATATATGAACCCAAAAAGGTTAAAGGTTACCTACTCTACTACTAAGCTTCCAGGCAGATGCCGCAGGATGCCGGGTCCTCGGCACCCGACTCGTAGACTTCCGTCGGAAACACCTTCAGGTGCTTGCCCTCCAGCGTTTCGCGCTTGACGTTCTCATCAAGCCTTCCGAGGAGGTCGTAGTCTTCGGGGCGAATCTCCCGCCCCTCGAGCGACTTGAGCTGACGATAGGTCTCGTCATCCAAGCCAAGCTGTGCGGCCATGGTTTGGTCCTTTCTAGGGTTTAGGGTTTAGGGTTTAGGGTTTAGGGTTTAGGGTTTAGGGTTTAGGGAAAACAAGGTGAAGCTTTAGGATTCCTACTGAATGCAATCACCAAGGGGAAGGGAAGGTTAAACTTTAGTATCTTCTACTAAGTAAGGGAACCAAAAAAGTTTAAAGTTCAGCTGTTGGATAAGTAAGGGTCACAATCGTGATCCTGCCCATGCAGCGTAAAGGAGCCCATGAGGAAGTGCTCGTTGCGCCATGACTTGTGCCGTGCTCGCGGCTGTCTGGCTTCACAGCTGCATTGGCGCTTCTCCCGGGCTCGGAGATCCTCAAGGGGTTTGCAAAGTTCTAGGGGACCCCTTAAAAACAGACCCCCAAAAAAGTGGGATTCCCTGAGAAGAAGGACCCCAAGCAGGTACCCCCTAATTTCGGAAACCACCATCTTGCCCCCCAAATAGTAGGACTCCCTTATCATAAGGACCCAAGAAGGGTACCCCCCCCCCCCCCAATTTCGGAGCTCCCATACTTGAACCTTAAACCCTAAACCCTAAACCCTAAACCCTAAACCCTAAACCCTAAACCCTAAACCCTAGAACGAATTTCGGAGCTCCTCGAGTTGCTGAGCCTCTTTGGCGCGGAGCTTCTCCGCGCGGCGCTCTTCGATGATGGCTTCGCGGACCTCTCTTCGCCGCGCACGCACTGTGGCCACATCTCCTTGGTTTAGGGTTTAGGGTTTAGGGTTTAGGGTTTAGGGTTTAGGGTTTAGGGTTTAGGGTAGCTGTGGGAAAGATCTGGCAAGCACGGGCAGCTCAACACCCAGAATGGGGGTTTACGATAATCAGGGACCCCTAATATACCCCCACTATTGGGTACCCTGAGTATCGCAAACCCCCCAAGTCTGAAAGGGATCAGCCTGCAGGTGCACTTTCATTTAAATTTTCAGACATGGGGCCATGTCTGCTTTCCCACCTCTGCACTTGCCTGCGCGTTACTCCAGGGCCGTAGACCCGGTAGTCCACCTCGAAGTTACACCAGCCAGTGTGGTGTCGCAATAACCTGGACACCAAGTGTAGCCTCGGCTTTTGCCAGGCACTGCAAGGCAGCCCTAAACCCTAAACCCCCAACCACAAACCCTCAACCATCCTAAACCCTACCAAAAGCAAAGCGGCAACAGGATTCCTGACGTCTCTAAGCGTTCAACTACCATCCGGTTCCCGAGTTCTCGAAATTCGGTGACAGGGATTCAGCCTCATAGCTGGATTTAGGGTTTAGGGTTTAGGGGATGTCCATGGACCATCCTGTTGAAGGGTGAGCCTCCATAATCCTCCCAACCACCCTGTTATCTGGCCTGATCGGCACTTAGTTGTCCAGTAACCTGAGGGAATTAAAGGTGAACCTTTGGGATTGTAAACTAGGGGCATCAGCAAGGACTTGTTTTCATCTTCGTTGCACGTGGCATGGAGGCCTTTACCCATCCTATGCTCTGGCTGCTCATCTCGCGCTGGCTGGGGAAAAAGCTACCCTAAACCTTAATTAAACCCTAAACCCAAAACCATAAACCCTTAAACCCTAACCCTTAAACCCTAAAACCCTCAACACTACACCCTACACAGGACTTGCTGCAAGGGCACCATCGGGTCTGTCCTATCCGTTGACGAGGCGGAAGCCTCGGGTCCACGGCTCAGAATGTGTCAGACGTTTTGGGTTTAGGGCTTAGGGTTTAGGGTTTCGGGTTTAGGGTAGAAGGAGGGACCACTACAAAAGGGACCTGTAGTCTTCTTCCCCTGTATAACTCCTTTTTAACCCTTGTGCCTGTGTAGCCCCTAAATTACCCCCAAGGTCCCTTATAAGGGTCCCTCCTTTAGTCGCTTGAAAGGCAGGGTAAGATACTGCTGCAGACCTTCACACAGCACGTTGCGGGGAGCTACATGATACAATACGATATTATATTGCTATACAAATATCGTAGTATAGTAATATAATCTATAAATAACAATATACTGAGATACTACGACAAGAAAACACAACACTACAGCACTAAAAGAATATAGCAATCTACCAGTAAAGTACTACAGATGCATGAATCTAATGACGGGAAAACATACGAATAAAACAGTATGGGTATTTCCCAAGATAGGGGTACCCCTTTTAAAAATAGAACAGAAGCCAAAGGGACCCCCCAAAAAGGCACCCTTTCTACGGCAAACCCCCGTAGAGTAATGTAGAGTTTCTCCAAGCTGTCGTGCCCTAAACCCTAAACCCTAACCCTAAACCCCAGCAAGGTAAAACCCCCATATAGAATTTCTCCCCAAGCTGCCGGAGGGCTAAACCCTAAACCCTAACCCTAACCCCTAACCCCTAAACCCTAAACCCTAAACCCGAAAGAATTTCTCCCCAAGCTGCCGGTGGCCATGCTCGAACTCACGGCCGCGACAACTTGGGGGCTGCGCCCTTCGCGCTCCGCGCTGCGTGGCTGCTTGGGGCCGCAGCGGGTCGAACTCCTCCTGCGCAATGTATATAGACATATATATATATATATACGTATATATATATATATATATATATATATTTATAGATGTATTTATATATGGTCTCGGGCTCCCCCCCCGCCCCCACAGAACCGCCACCCAGCATGGTACCCCCTCCCCAAACCCCAAACATCTCCCCTAAACCTGAAAAAACACTGAAACCTCAAACCTTTAACCTAAACCGTAAATTTTTCAACCCCAAACGCCAAATCCTCCATTCACAGCACAGGCAGGGCGGGCTAAACCTTAAACCCTAACCCCCAACCACACCCACACCACGGGGGGGGGGCGCAGGGGTAGCACTGGCGGCCGGTCTCTTAAGCCCTCAACCCCTATCACACCACGGCCTAAACCTTATTCCCTAAACACCGAACCCTAAACCCTAAACCTTAAACACTAACCCCTAACTCCGCAACCACACCCACACCACAGGGGGGGGGGGGTGCGACCCCGCAACCACACCCACACCAGAGAGGGGGCGTGGGGGTTGGGATCCAAGGGAGGGGGGGGGGGGGGGGGGGATACCATGGGCGGTGGGGGGGGGGGGGGGGTGGCAGCCCGAGACCATATATATGTATATGTTGCTTATTTATGTGTTGCTATATTTTGTTATGGTTACTTCTCTCCTTCTTATTGTTCCTATTTTTGTGTATATAAAAAGAAGTGAAATCACATAAAAAAGTGCATGAATTAAAACAAAAAAACAAATAAGAAGGAGTATATATATATATATATATATCATATATATATATATGAGTAGTACCGCTATAAGACTAAGAGCAGGTGGCCAGGAAAAGCTAGCTGAAGTCACCAGGCTTCTGCTCGGCTTGTTACACTCACATCGATGATCTCTTGGAATGTTCCCGCTTTATACTAACAGCTCCTTAATAGGGATTATAGTACCCCCTATTTTAATCCCTATTAAGGACTGTTAGGATGAGGGGTACCATCCCAAGTGATGTGGATGATGTGCGCTCCCTTGCGCTTCCAGGACTTCTGCGATTGCAAGTCAAGGGGAGAGTGCTGTCAAAACCCGATGCCCTAAACCCTAAACCCTAAACCCTAAACCCTAAACCCTAAACCCTAAAAGCCATTTATTAGCTCATGCCATGGCCCAGCGGGTCCGCTCGGTCGACAGCCGGGTCCAGGCCAAAATAACCTGCAGTCAGCTTCAGTAACTTAGTTGTCCAGTACCTAGGGGTTTTAAAGGTTAACCTTTGGGATTATAAGGGGAATATATGAACCCAAAAAGGTTAAAGGTTACCTACTCTACTACTAAGAACTTAGTTGTCCAGTAACCTGGGGGATCTCAAGGCTAACCTTTGGGATTATCAGGGGGTAGTTTTACCCCAAGAAGGTTGAAGGTTACCTACTCTACTACTAGGTTAACTGTGTGGCCCAGGATTCATTCACACGCGTATAAGAGCGTGAACACCAGTACCAGATGAAACAAAACGTGCACACACACAAAGACAATCCAGAAAAAAATGCCAAACAAACCATCAACAATGCCCTGAGACCCATGAATGTTGCCAGACCTGTCCACGACAAACAGCATGGATTGCAAGTGCGATGAAAAGCACACGCTTGCCCCTTTGACAAGGATCCATAAGCACGTCGAACACCTGCAATATTGCAAATGTTACCCCTCCCCCCCTCCCCCCCTCTCACTCTCAAAGAAGGCCGACTGGGGGAGGAAGAAGGGTCGTTGTGTGGACTCAAGGGTGCGCCATTGAAGGTTTAGGGGGGCGCCTTCGAGGATCCGGGACAACCAGGCCCACGCGTCTGAGGATGAATAGAAATCCGACGCTTCAAAAATGTCGGGCACACCGATCTCTAAGCCCAAAAAGAACCATGAAGACCTCTGCAAGATCGAGACGGCTGCCCTCCTTGCGTCGCTAGAAAAGAGGCCGTGAGCAATGTGCTGGGTGTTTGGGAGGTTAAGGGCTGCAACCCCTAAACCCTAAACCCTAAACCCTAAATTTAAGTCGGATCGCTTTCTTCGTAGTCGTCCCAATCTCGGGAATTCCAGCGTTGGAGAGCTGGCTGCAAGTGTTCCACCTGAGATAGGGTTTAGGGTTTAGGGTTTAGGATGCAAACCTCCAGATGTGGCCACAAGTCTGGCGCCGTTGGACGCGAGGGACACGCTCGGATTCTTTTGCACCCTTGCTGGCGAAAGCAAGCATATGATGACACAGAATACTGCACTCTGTGTTATGAGTATCTTTTCTATGTCGATGTCTGGTCCAGTTGTTGGAACAGTGCATGTGGACAAATCTTATCTTTGCCTTGCAGATTCATCCTCCCTGCGACGTACTGCTACGTACTACTACATACAGCATGTTGTAAACAAGTCACAAGAACTGAACATGCCAGTGTTCTGGGCATGTTCGCAAATGGCATGAATGCTTGTGACAACGCGTCTAGTTCCAGAAGCGTCCAACATCCTTTTGCATGTGTTCTGTGAAGGGGCAAAAACATGCAAAAACCCTGTTAAATACCACAGAGTTGGGCATCTTTAGAGCACTGAAGGCTTTGGGCCTTGGTCTTTTGTTTGGGAGAAACCCCCACCCACACCCCCCATGAAAAGTTCAGAGTACACCTTGGCAATCTACGGACCCTGGGCCAACTACCAGGCGCCGAGGGGTGCACACGGCTGCTGCTGCTGCTGCTGCTGCTGCTGCTGCTGCTGCTGCTGCTGCTGCTGCTGCTGCTGCTGCTACTGGCTATGGGCTATTTGACTAGTATTTTGATGCATGCATGAGTATACATATAAAGGAAGGAAAAACGAACAGCACTATGTATATCTACATATATAGGCATAGGCATATGTATATATATATATATATGTGTATATATATATATATATGCATATATATATATACATACATACATATATACATGTAGCTATCGGCCAGTCGCCTAAATCTGTGAGTACCGGCGTCCCAGGCACAACAACATGGAGCTCCACTTTCTGTCCATCATTGGAGAGAACCAGGCGAATGTGCTTCAGAAATCCTTCGCCAACAGGGTTTAGGGTTTAGGGTTTAGTTGTCCAGTAACCTGGGGGAATTAAAGGTTAACCTTTGGGATTCTAAGAGGATTCTACTACCCCAAAAAGGGTCAAGGCTGCCCACTGTACTACTAGGGGCAAGACTGACAAACTGTGGCAGGAAGGTGGCATGCACATATATGCACATGGTTGCACTCGAACTAGCCAGTTGGCCTTACACCTTTGGCAGCGAGCCCTGTGCGCATCAACCGCGCAGACTATGCCCTCAACACCTGAATGAAGCTCGACGCGGCACTTAACAAAACTGTGCTACAGGCAAGCGTGTCGTGCTTCGTCGTGATTGTTGGTGACTAAATCGTTCCCGAGCCTGATGGTGTTGGGTCAAGCGCTGACATCCCGGCAACTGAGAGGTCTAGATAGATGCGTTGGCCTGGCCTGTATGTGCATGCTGTGACCACGCAAGATTCTTATGCATGGTGCCCAAGGATGTGCCACTTGGATTGGGCCTTGGGGCGACACCCTAACCTCCTTTTGAACCCAGACTCTGCCTGACACCCTAAACCCTAAACCACAAAAACCACTAAAACCAACTTCCTTATTCTTTTGATGCTGAATGTGTCTAGGGGCGGTGCAGTTAGGGTAGTGCTCCTGCAATCTGCCGTCCTGCTTGAAGATGAGTGCCCCACATATTCGAGTACTTCAGCCGATTTGAGCCACAAGGATGCAAGCGCGCTAGGGTTTAGGGTTTAGGGTTTAGGGTTTAGGGTTTAGGGTCTTGGGTTTAGGGTTTAGGGTTTGGGGTTTAGGGTTTAGGGTTTAGGGTTTAGGGTTGACAAGCAAGTCTGGTGGAGCCAGCGCCACATGCACTGTCGACAGCGGGCCATGCCCTCACTGCCTGCCCTTGTGGCAGCGGATCTGATCGCTACGCTGGCACGTTCTGTGCTGGTCCTGTCTTCGAGTCTTCGAGCTGCTTGCTGATTTCAGGTCGAAACTTCAGGCCTGTTCAGGAGCGGTTTATCAAGCCTCGGTGCTTCGTGAAGAGGCTAAACCCCAAAAACCCCAAGCCCTAAACTCCAAACCTTCAACCCCCCCCCCCCCCCCCCCCCAACTCCTAAAGCTCGAAGCACGAAGTCCTATCGGCACACCTCCCAAGACATTCTGTCAGGCAGGGTGGCATGATTCAGCTCTCAAGACGAAACTCCGGTCTCGGAAAGCTGCTGGCCAACTAGTCATAGCAATACACTCACTCATGATAAGAGTATGAATTGAACATAATCTAAGAATCATGGCAGTAGTAAGCATAATTACAAGAACTAGCTCATGACAAGTGTAGTAATCCAAGCAGAATGGTTGTATAAGTTTAACACCATCTAGTAATGTGGAGGCAGCACTCAATATGGGTTGTAGCCTTTGCCGCCGCTTGCATCCTGGCAACAACCGACGGGCGCAGCTCAACATAACTCAACGCAACGCAGAACTCAGAATTAAGGATCTAAGAATCTAGTCGTCCGTGAGAATTCCACGAGGGGCGATATGAGGGTTTCCGTAGGGGTGCCCTTTTTCGGGGGTCGCTTTAAGGGGATTCTATATTTAGGGGGAAAAAGGGGCACCATCTATTTTGGGAAATGCCCAAAATGTGAAAGCGCCGATGAACGCAACAAACAAAGCCAGGCCAACGCGAGGAGCTGAACCATAGCCGCCGTATGCACCTGTAGGCGGCAGCCCGGATGTATGGTGGGTTTTAGGTTTAGGGTCTTCGGGTTTAGGGTTTACAGCTACAGCCCTCATACCCCAGCACAGCTTTGTAATGTTGAAGTCCGTGTGCTTTCAGACAGTGCTTCGGCTTCTTCTGGCAGTGCCTCAACTACATCGGCGCTAGTTTCCTTCGAGAACTAGGTCGGGATGCTACTCAAGCTGTGATGTTTTTGGGAGCCCAGCAACCAGACTAAAAAAGGTTTTGGGGGTTGGTTTCTTTGTAAGGGGAACTAGAATCAACAAATGGGCAAGAGGGTCTCACTGGGCGACTGCTACATGGCGGACCCTCAGCCCATCTGACCAAGGGCTGAGGACTCGGTACCCTTGAGGATGTACCCCTCAGCGGTTCCCTTAATCTACTCCCAGTATGGCCCTCATCGGAAACCTGTAACAAGGCCTAAACCCTAAACCCTAAACCCAAAACCCTAAACCCTACACGCTAAACCCAAATCCCAAGGGTACAACCTTCGTACTGCGCGGCGAATTTTGCTTCGCGCTTTTTTGGGTGTCAGCTCTTGGACGAGCCCTTCGCTTGTTTTTACAAGGGGTTTAAGTTTTTTTTTTTAGGGTTTAGGGTTTAGGGTTTAGGGTTTAGGGTTTAGGGTTTAGGGTTTAGGGCTTCGGGTGTAGGGTTTGCCGCTGTACCTTGGCACTTACAGCATCCAGCCTTGGGAATGCTTTTGGGCTTTACATCATGGAACTCCGCCTTGGGCCATGGGTTGGGGGGAAACATGAGGGGGCGTATCTTTCTCAGGGTTTAGGGTTTAGGGTTTAGGGTAAGGGAAACCCAACTTTAAGGAATTATCGCAGCGGACCAACAGGAAAATCTAGAAGAAGCCCATAGAAGCCCCATATCCCCCACCCCACCCCGGTGTTTAGGGCTTCGTCGCTCACGCTCGCACAAGGCAGGATTCAACCAACGTGGCCCACAATCATTGCACCGTAAATCCTAAACCCCTAATTATTAAAACCTAAAACTCTCACGCCCCACCTCGACATCCACTACAAACCCATGCCATAACTCGAGAAGTGAAAGAATACCAGGTTTCAAGCCAGCTCACGCATCTTTTTTTGAGCCAGCTCACGCATATTTTAGGGTTTAGGGTTTAGGGTTTAGGGTTTAGGGATGATCATTCTTGCTTCTTTCTAAGGGCTCGACTCTCGCGCCCGCACAAGCAGGCAAGGATTCAGTCGGTTCATTTTGGTTAGGGTTTTTGGGCACATAGCTGGACGGACCACGGTTTAGGGTTTAGGGTTGTAGCGCAGACCCTAACACGACAGCAATGTCAATGTCAAGAAACAGCCTTGTCCGTAGGCTTCACAGCCTCCGCAGCCGGCGCCTTCACCTTTTTGATTTATAGGGTTTAGGGTTTAGGGTTTGGGGTTTAGGAAGGTTTAGGATTTAGGGTAGGGTTTTTAGGGTTTAGGGTTTAGGGATTAGGGTTTAGGGTTTAGAATTCTCTGCCCTTCAGCGTCAGGCTCCACCTTAAGAACCCCATGCCTACTTGTGTGCGGACCCCCAAATAGTAGGATCCCGGATACCCTTATAATCAGGACTCCAGTAAGGTACCCCGAATCTACTAAACCCCATCTGTTTCAGGTCTTCTAAGGTAGCCTTTAAACCCTAAACCCTAAACCCTAAACCGCATCAAACAGTGTGTTCTGTTCTTCAGCATTCGGCCTCCGAAGCCGCCAAAGGCCCCATAGCCGCCATAGCCACCATAGTCGCCGCCTGGAGCATCTAGGTTTAGGGTTTAGGGTTTAGGGTTCTGTTGAGCAAACTTCTGTGCACATCGCGCAACGGACGCTTGGACATGCCGCGCTTTTCACGTGCAACGCCTCAGGTGGCCCCTAAACCCTAAACCCTAGACCCTAAACCTTGAACCCTAAACCCCATTTCGCATTGAAGCATTCTGGGCTTATCACAGTGATGCCGGTCAAAGGTGCTCACAGCACCAGCAACGTGGTGGCAAGGGCCACCGTGAGCTTCCCAAAGATGGGGTGGGTTTAGGGTATAGGGTTTTGGGTTCCATGGTTATCAGTGGGCAAGCCGCCACGTTGGTCGTCGTTTTTTCTGTGGCCTGTCGCCAAGGTGAGGTGGCGCGACACTGCACTCCCGAAAGAGCCCCGCTTGCTGGGGCGATATGGTACCTTGCTAGACCTTGCTGGGACTTGAGTTTTTTGTATTTCGGCGCAGATCGATGCACGAGTGTCACGGAAGACAGTCATGTCACTCATGTCCGTTACCTTTGATGACCTTGTCATGCTAGGTCACATGGATGTCAGTTCATGCACTTTGCAAACCCCAATTTGGGGGCCCAGCCACCATAGCCACCACAGCCGCCATAATTGGCGCCTGCTGTTCAGCTTCACAGCTGCGCGCTTCATCCGGGCACTCTCAAGGCGCTTGGTATGCAGCGCCGATTGCTTAAGCCTAGCACTCTACTCATGGAAAGCTGGGGGTCCACGGGCATCCGCACCCTGCAGCGGCGAACGCTTCTGAGCAATCTGAGCAACCTGCCGCCGTAGGCACCAGCTGACGCACCATCACCTCTGCACTCTGCACCAGCTGCAACCCTAAACCCTAAACCCTAAACCCTAAACCCTGAACCTTAAACCCTAAACCCTGCCCTGGCAGTCTGCTTGGACGGCGGACCTGTCATGCCCAGCCTCCATAGGCGCCACAGCCGCCACAGCCACTACCTCCACAGCTTGTTGGCGGTGGGAAGGCCGCGTAGCCGCCATAACCTGAACATGCCGAATACAGCTGCGATCAGCAGATGTCCTATGCCAACATGCGCTGCGGGAGAGACGCACTGTTGTCCCTCGTGATTTGCACGGGTGCGGTGCGCGATGCGGTCTTTAAACACAGAACTTGAAACAGAAACACCCTGCAGACGAGACCATGGCATCTCGGCGCAAGTAAGACGAAGAAGATTCTTCAAATCCAGACTTGCCGCGAACCAAAGACACTCTGTGTCTTCTCCGGTGTTCTCAGCGCTCACCCTAAACCCTAAACCCTAAACCCTAAACCCTAAACCCTAAACCCTATACCCTGAATCTGCAGCCTCCTACTCAATGCACGCAATGAGAAACCAGCTCTTGGCAGTCTGGGAGACCGAAGCCGCTGCACGCATTATTACAATTCTTTAGCTAACACTATTATTATTATTGGTATTATTATTATTATGATTATTATTATATAGATACATATCTATACATTACAAGAAGAGAAATATGTTAGATACATACATATACGTATTGCACTAGCACATCACACATGTGACTTCATGCCACGCCCTCGTGCAGCTCTTCGGCGTCTCTGCTTTTGCTCACTGGGTTACGGGTTTTCCGCCCAGCAATTCGATTTGACAAGCCCACCTGCTTCACAATGCGCAGAGAAAGGAGATGAAGGTAGCATTCCCAGACCGGCCAGACCTGTACCGTCTAGCAGGCGGACGACCTCAAGAAGGACGGACGAAGGCTGAAGCCTGCGGCAACAATCCTGGGTCCTTCTGACGGCGGC